AGCTGATGCCAGGGGCTTAAGTGTAGAGCAAACGTTTTGAGAATGATGAGGGCAATGAATGTACAAATGTGCTTTACACAAATTGATGTATGTATGGATTGTGATAAGAGTTGTATGAGCCCCTAATAAAATGATTTAAAAAAGAAAGCTGTCACCATCAATATACAGTCTACAAAGACAAAAATAGACACAATCAAAGGATGGGAAAATATATCACCCTAATGGCAATCGAAAGAGCAGAGTGGCAATATTAATTTCTGATAAAATAGTCTGTAAGGCAAAACCAGCACTAAAGACATTAAATAGGAGAGTCATGAGATAGTGATTAAAGGGACGTAGCCATAGTAAATATGGAATAGTCTCAGAATGCATAAAGCAAACTCTTAAAGAATTGAACTGAAAAATAGACAACTGTACAAAAGATGTTATTAAATCAATTTTATTTTTCTGCCTTTCATTAGTTGCAATGGATTTTCCTTAATGTGCTTTTTCATAGTAGCACGTGCTACATATTTTGGTGTTTCTAGCTGTCACTCAGATGAATGCACCAGGCTAATGGCAACCCCATGTGTTACCAAGCAGAACTGCCCCAGATATTATTCTTGAGTTTTTATCAGGAGCCCTGGTGGTGGTGTGGTTATGGGTTGGGCTGCTGTCCACATGGTCAGCAGTTCCAAGTCACCAGCTGCTCCTGGAGAGAAAGGCTGGGCTGTTTACTCTCCAAACAGTTATAGTCTCAGAAACCCACAAGGGATTCACTGTGAGTCGGCACCAACTGGTTGTCAGTGAGGTGAGTGAGTGTTAGTGAGTAGTCTATGGAAGCAGATAATGTCAAGTGATTTAATGTATACATGCCACCAGAGTCTTAGAAAGAAGTGGACACCCACATGGGTTAAACCTCCACTGAACTTCCCTGGGCCATTGACTGGGGATGTGAATAGTTTTGACCTCAGAGAGAGTGCATAGGAAAATGTATTAATACAGATATAGTTAGCTTAAAATTTAACAGTTTGCTGTTCACTCTCGATTCATTTTTACTTTTTCTAGTGTGTATTTTCTTTTTCTTTTTTTTTTTCCTGTAGTGAAGTTCTGGTTATATTTTGATGTCACCAATGATTTTTTTTAGGGGGGAGGCAAATCTAGAGAGATAGTAACTAGATTAATATATCCTTAGGGCTATATCTGGTGAGGCTGGGGTGCAATAGGGAGCTAATGACAATGGATACAAGAATGAAGAACATGATAAAAAAATTGATTGTGGTGATGACTGCATAACTCTTAAATACATTTAAAACAATGCATTGTATCATCCACATATACACAGTATATGTCAATAAAATAGTTTAAAAATTATGTTAATGATATTATCCACATTAAAAGAAAAAGGTGGATATAAAAACGTTTCAATAAAGAATGACTGAAATTTCTAAATTTCAAGATACCAAAATACAAGATACCTGAAAAAAAAAAAAACAAGCAGCAGATTAAACATAAAAGTCATACCAGGGTACATTATAATAAAGTTATAGGAACCCAGTGGTCAAGATAAGAATCTTTACGTCTGCTAGAGAATAGAGCCACACTATGTATACAATGAAGAATTCTCATCAGAAACTATGTAAGTCAAAAGATAGCGACATCTTCAAAGGGCTCAAAGAAACTGCCAACCTGGAATCACACACACACGCACACACACAGAAATGTACAATTTAAATATTAAGGCAATCTGGTGAATCCCCTCTGACCATAGATCAGGGATGTGAAGAGCCTTGCTGTCATGCTTTGGAAAGTCGATTATTGCAGTGAATTATTAATACCTTATCATTTGATCTCCCTTTTGATCCATTTAAAATGTGTTCTAGTTTTTAATATTTTCTGCTTTATTTTCAGTTGAGGTTTTTATATGTTATGCTTTGTTATTGTTCGTTTTTTTGGGAAAAAAGTTTTCCCGTGTATTAAATCCAGGATAGAAAATTCTGTATTTGACATCCAGGAAACCCAGGAAAAGGACTGTAACTGGGTTAAAGGTTCCTTGGGGGCATGACAGGAGAGGTTGGGGGTAGGTATTGGGGGTTTAAGAGCTAATAACAAGTACAGGAAAGTGTAGTATTAAGTTTGGGGGGTAGGAGGGCCAGCCCCCACCGCTACTACCCAGGGGTTCAGAAAGCACAATTGTATGGTTGAGATATATAAGTATTATATTAAAGTCATCGAGAGCATGAGAGATATTACAATGATGCAGTCAGACACATTACATGGTAGCATTGCTCACCTCAGCCCCACTTGGTCCACATGGAGAGAGGGGGAAGGGAAGGAGGACGGGACAGGGAACAAGGGGGAGAGGAGGGAAGAGGAGAGAGAAGAGAGGCGAGCGGGACGAGTGAGAGCCCAGTGAGAGAGAGCTCTCTCTTGCTAGCCCAGGCCTATATCCCTTTTTGGGGGCGTGCAAGCCCACTAATTACAGGTAAAGACATATGTCACAGGAAGGGGTTGCACTATAGGTTATACAGCAATGAGAGGGGGTGGTCTAGGGACCTACACGCAATAGGAAGAGGAGGGATTGGGGGTATACATGTGACAAGATGGGCGGATCCTAGATTTAGGATGGCAACTTAACTTTGGATGTCACAGAGCTGGTTTGACTTGTTCCTGGCTCAACTGATAGAGACCATTATCAATAGGATGTGAACTCAGCCTACAGGAGCCTGTCCCAGCAGCAGGGAGCAGGCCCACTGCAGTCTGGCAACTAATTTCAGGGAAGATGCCTGCTAGCCTCTACCTCCCCCCACAAGAAAGAAGAAATGTTTTAAAATTGAGGATGGTAATGATTATACAACTCTTCTTGATATGATTGAACCATTGAATTGTATGGTAACTGGTGTAATATTTAGGTTTTGTGCCCACATGGCACATGTAAGAAGATATGGGTAGAGTGTAGCCTGTCAATCAGGTCACAGCTTAGTGTGACCAAGATAAATGGCTCTCTGGAGGCTGCCCACACCGGCCCCCACTCCCACCCCCTTTCACCTTCCTGTTGCCGAGGCACAAGACTTTACACTCACTGGCCTGTTATCTTCCTGCATTCAGTGTCATTGCATGTGTTGAGTCTGAAGAGGAACTTATAGAGTGGTATAGAACATATGGGCTAATATTGGACTTAGAGACTTGATCTGGACTGGGCTAGGATGTTTTCTCAATATTCAATTGCGCTTGTATATGAAGTTTTTTCTAACATATATGAACCTCTATGAATTTGTTTCTCTAGTCTACCCAGACTAACACGCCTCATATTTCAAAATTAATCAGTTCTATTAATAAATTTTAAAAAATCATATGACCACCTGAATAAACACAGAAAGAACATTTGAAAAATTTAACAGGATATTTGGGTAGCTAACAGCCATGGGATAACAAAATAACAGGTATTTTGTCTTCCTGTCCCGGTGGCATAGTGGGTTAGATTTTGGGCTGTTAAACCCAAGGTCAGCTGTTTGAAACCACTACTCTTTCTGTGGGAAAAGGATGGGGCTTTCTACTCTCTTAAAGAGTTACAGTCTCAGATACCTACAGGGCCAGTTCTGCCCTGTGCTACAGAGTCTGTGAATTGGCATTGACATGACAGTGAGGTGTGTTTTTAAAAATTTTTTAAATCATCTTATTTGCGACTCATATAGCTTTTATCACAATCCATATATCCATCCATTGTGTAAGGACATTTGTACATTTGTTGCCATCATCATTTTCAAAACATTTTCTTTCTACTTGAGCCCTGGGTATCAGCTCCTCAATTTTCCCCCTCCCTCCTCACCCTCCTTCATGAACCCTTGAGAATTTAGAAATTATTTTTTCATGTCTTACACTGATCCTTGTCTCCCTTCACCCACTTTTCTGTTGTCCCTCTCCCTGGGAGAGATCATATGTAGATCATTGTGATTGGTTCCCCCTTTCTCCTCCCACATTCCTCTTACCCTCCTCGTATCATTACTCTCATTATTGGTCCTGAGGGGTTTATCTGTCCTGGATTCCCTGTGTTTCCAGCTCTTATCTGTACCTGTGTACTGCTCTGGTCTAGCCGGATTTGTAAGGTAGAATTGGGGTCATGATAGTGGTGCGGGGGAGCATTAAAGAACTAGAGGAAAGTTGTATGTTTCATCGGTGCTATACTGCACCCTGACTGGCTCGTCTTTTCCTTGTGACCTCTGAGTAAGGGGATGTACAATTGTCTACAGCTGGGTTTGGGTCTCCACTCCTTATACCTCATTCACCGTGATATGATTTTTCATTCTGGGTCTAGAGGTTTGTTTTGTTTTGTTTTTTAAGCAAAGGGTAGGTCACGATATAGTGTCTTATTCTTCTGAAGTAAGAGCAGGCATACTAGGGACCCAGTATCATAAGGTAATGTCTCTCCAGGGTTCCTTTCTTCCAATCCAATCAGCAATGTGAGCAGTTGTTTTTTGGACCTCTTTAGTTGAGCCCTAAGGGCGTGGTGATTACACATTGGGCTGCTAACTGCAAGGTCAGCAGTTCGAAACCACCACCCACTCCTCAGGAGAATGATGGGGCTTTCTACTCCTGTGAAGAGTAACAGCCTCGGAAGCTCATGGGCGGGATAGTTCTACCCTGTCCTACAGCACTGCCAAGTCATCATCAACTTGATGGCAGTGAGTTTGGTTGGGTTTTAGTTGACTGTAGGAATTGGGGAATGGGGAACTGATTCAAAATGCTGATACTTTTGCCTCATGTAATAAACTGTTTATCTCTGACCCATATTAGCTAAGGAGTCCTGGTTGGCACAGTGAGTAGTTCAAAGAGCTCGGCTGCTGACTGAAAGATTGGAAATTCAACCCACAAGGCCACTCTGTGGGAGAAAGATGTTTCAGATTACAGTCTTGGAAATGGCATGGTAGAGTTCTACTATGTCTTACAGGGCTATTGTAAATGGAAATTGGGTTCAGGTGCAATGGCTTTAAAAAACATTTGGTTCCAAGGGGGCTTCAAAAAGATTGTGGGAAAATTTAACTAAAGATAGTGGAATCTTTCTGTGAACTTTTTGAAGCCCCCTCATACAAGTAGGTTAAATCTCAGATCCTTTACAGTTCTTGATAACATAAGGATATATACCAAAGTCCCATTTCTAATTCTAAAATTGAATATATTTTAATAATCTACTAGGCAATTGGGATACTATGAAAAAATAATCTAAAATTATTTCATGTAGAAAAATACTTGAACACATTTTTTAGAAATTTATTTACATATCTTGGAAGGAAATAATTGATACAGTTTACTTGGTGTTCCTGGGAGGACAAAAAGAAAGAAATTTAATGTGAAAATAATACTAAATAAACCTGTTGCTTGTACATATGTAAGGTATATAGCTAACCCCCCAAAGAGAAGCCCACAGTGACCCTGTAAGACAGGATAGAACTGTCCCTGTCCCTTTCCCAGGGTAACACTCTTTTCGGAGTAGAAAGCCCAGTCTTTCTCCGGAGGAGCAGCTGGTGGTTTCAAACTGCTGAGTTATCAGCCCGACTCATCAGCACAATACCACCAGTTAATAAATAATAATATTAATTTTATTAAAAGAGCAAAATCCCTAAATTATTCCATTATATACTAAATTGAACCCAAATGTTGTAAAAACTAAAGTATGCCCATCTTAATGTTTCCTAACTGTACTCTGACTAGGTCTCTGTAGGTTAAAATCACCTTAACCACATCTCTCTACTAATCTACTACAATATACACACCTTTCAAATCAGACGCTAAAGTTCTGCTCCTAGGGCTGGAAGTTTCTTCATAACCGTCAGAGTTGTCAAAATGGTATTTCTCCCTTCTTGAGATATAAGTCATTTTTGGTAGGTCATTATGCTGATTACCTATTTTATCGTTCAAATGAAAATATTCCCGTTGAAGATTCCGCATCTCAAATTCCATGGCGTCCCTCTCGTTTTGTATGCTTCTCACGTAGTTCTCTAGCAGTAGTTTGTCTTCAGTGAGCCTGCTGATGCTGTTTTCAAATTTGACGTTTTCTTGACTGTGTTTCTTCAGTTCTTCTTTTAGAATCTGATTATCCGTTTTGATTTCCATCACCATTTTGGACAACATTTCACATTCCTTGGTTGTTTCTGACAAGCTATTCTTATAAATATTTGCTTCGGATTTGGCATTTTTTATTTCTTTGAGGAAAGTCTCTTGTGCAGTGTTTTGATACGTTTGAAAATTCTCCACTTCTCTCTCCATCATTTGTCTCACAGCAGTAGATTCTTCTAATGCTGTTTCAAGATCAAGTTTTTCGCTTTTAAGTGTCTCTATTATTTGAAGAAGGGTCTCTTGCTCAGCTTTCACCAGCCTCTCTGTCTCTCTTCGTTGCAGTATTTCCAGCTGGCTTTCTTTTAATTCCTGTTCCAGGGAGCTTTTGTCCATTAGAAGTTGGTATGTTTTTTTGTCTAGCATTTCCTTTTCATCTTTTAGCAATCGAACATTTGTTTTCATTGATTCCATTTCTATGCTCATTCGGTTATTTTCATTACTGACAATGGCAAAATCATTTTGAGTTTTGTGTTCCTTGCTTTTTAGTTGATCTAACGATTCTATCAGTTGTTGTTTCTCCAGAGAAAGTTGACTGTTTTTTTCCTCCAGAGTTTTATTTTGACATTGGAGGACATTGTAGTTACGGATCATATTTTTCAATTCTTTAAGATACTCTTCGCCATCTTCTTCTGATTTGGTCAACTTGCATTGAATAGTGTTGTTTTCTTCAGACAACTTCTTAAGTTGCTTTTCATACGTGTCAATTTTCTGAATCAGAGATTGTGTGGTAGAGACAAGAGGCTTTATTTTGGTTTTAAGAGTTCGATTTTCATTCTCTAGTTCTGCCACTTGTTTTTGTAGCTGCAGAGATTCTTTTAGGTAATTCTGTAAATAATGAATTTTTGCAACACACTGCTCAGTCACAGAATGAACTTTAGTTGTCTTCTCACTTTCATAGACAGCTGGTCCTTTTTTTACTATGAATGACTGCATGTCTTTGTCTTTCTTTGTGTGTTTTGTTTGCTCAAGGAATGAAAACGTATCTCCTGTGGCCCTAGAACAGCATCTTAAATCTGTAAGATCCTTGCCAGTGATGGGACTGTCTATATTATGTTTCTCACTCTTCTTTCCCCTGTGCAATTCACTCTTAGATAATTTTTTACACTTCCTACAAAAATTCACGTGAACTTTTGATACTGTTTGTCGGAGTGGAAGTAATTTGTTTATCAATGCCTCCAATTCTTTAATTCTTTTAGATTTTTTATCTTCACTTAAGATATTTTCAATATCTTCTTCCTTAACAAAATTAGCTTTTTCTTTGTGAATGGGGGACAGATCATATTTGTCCTTACTCTGCACATTTGTATCCATTTTTAAAGTCTGAAGTTCATTTGTAAGTGCCAGTTCCCGATCGTGTGACTTTTGAAGCTCTTCCTTCATGTGTTTGATAGAATGGCAGATGTCATCCAGGTTTTCACAACGTCCGTGCTTGAGAAAAGGCAGCGTAATTGTGGATTCGTCCAGAACGACCGTAACAGCTGGGGACACTCCGTTCTCAGGTGGGTTAGGCGGGAAACTATAGCGATTGTTAAGGTTTTTCAGCATGTTGGCACTTCCTGCAGTGTTCACACTTACATTTGACGCTGTAATGTTATCTGTTGATGTTCTCAGCGCTAGTGTGTCCTTGAAATGTATGTGGGAGGGAGTGCTTCGATCTTGAGAGACACTGTTAGCACTGTCACTCCTTAGCTTTTCTTCTGCGGACTGAAGAGATCTGGAGTCCTCACTGTGGTGCGTTTCTCCCCCAGAGAAGGTTTCTTCTTCGTCCTCTGTAGGCTAATGATCAGAAGGAAATCATTATAAACGCGCGCTCATTTGTCACGTGTTCAGCAACTTGAGAGTGTGCTCATAGAGGATTTGTCGATGGAACTAAAATGAGTTATTTCACCAAGGACTTTGGCGGTTATGAAATAAACAAGTATGTTTATTTAAGAACCGCTGTTTACATCTGTAACTCCGGTTTGCACAATTTGCTCAGAAATTGCCTTTATTTCCTTAGGGTGCGAGGCTGGTGAGTACCACTTGATTTTAGACATAGAAATTGAACCTTCCTCAAGAGCCCTTCATATCTCGATGGGGAAGATCAGAGCACCAGATCAGTTACGGAAAAGGGAGGAGGATTGTGGCTCCTGAGCGATGGTCAAACCCAGCCTGTATTTCTAGTTTCCAGTTGGCTCAGGGCTGCCATCGTCCTGGAGATGTGAGTTCTACTCCGGGGGGTGGGGTGGGAGTGGTGGGGCTACCGGGACTAAGGTTTAAAGCGCTGCTAGGGAATGCATCCCAGGTTAGTGACCCCTAAGAGTAGAAAGCCCTGAAGTAGACAGGGAGATGGTAAGAATTGCCTTCTCCTTCAGTTCACTCAGGGATCCCGAGGCTCCTGGAGGAGGACATCAGTGTCCTCCCAAACGCCTAAGAGAAAGGAGAATATTGTATAGGGATGGGATCGACACACGTCGTTTAGGGTTTGCAGGACCTGGGTTTCCTTGTTTTCATCTCTGGTCATCCATTCTTCCTAGGAATAAAGTTAGAATGTAAACGTGAAGAGAAATGACAGGAGCAGCATGTTTGTGCATAACTAGAGAAGCCATTTGTACCCAGTAACATACCAAATCATTTGCAATGAGTGTCCTGGAAGCTTGATTTCTTTCTGGTGTCAATTGTGGATTTTCTACTTCAATAATACTTTTGTTTAATATTTCACTGATTTCAGATTGCACCTTCAAAAGATAAACTGAGAATATTAGGATTGGATATATAAATGTATTAGTGTATGATAATAATAATAATAATAATAATAATAATAGGTACTATAATTCAAAGGTATATCTACCAACCCACTGTTATTGATGTGGACTTATCTTGACCCTATATAAGGTTTCTGAGGCTGCAAATCTTTACAAGATCAAATGGTCTCATCTTTCTCGTGAGGAATGGCTGGAGGGTTTGAACTGCCAACCTTTTGTTAGCAGTCTAATGCTTACCTGACAGTACCACTAGGGCTCTAAAACCAAATCCACTTCCATCGAACCCTTTAGGTTTCCGAGCCTATAAATCTTTACAGGGGCAAAAAGCCTCATCTTTCTACCGAGGAGCACCTGGGGGTTCAAACTGCTGACTGTTAGCTTGTCAGATCAACATGAAACCCACTAGGACACCAGGGTTCAGGTATCTAAATGTCCTGCACACCAAAATTATTTCCCATTTTGTAGAATGTAAAATATGGCTTTTAGTTTATTGTCATCTCTGACTCTAAGAAAAGTATGTTCTTATACATGACATGATTATAAAATTACAAAAGACTGAATTTAGAAAAAAGGTAAAATTTGTATGAATGAAATAATTTTAGATTACCATTGCATAGTAAATGATTGAGTCAGTCCGAGACCTTTGACATCTACCACCAAATCCACTCTGCTACCCTCAGGAGGAGCTAGCTGGTCCTCTCATACCGCTTCCCTGCAGTTGTTTCCCACACAAGGACATTGGGAGGAAGTTTGGAATGAATTTTAGAATTTTCGTGTTCTGTACCGTCACAGTCTGTCCCCTCTCCTTTTGCTAATACCACCTCTTCCTTCTTCTGGACAAAGTTCATGTTCTGTTGGTGATTCTGACCCCATCCTAGCTCCATATTTGCACATGTGACTCAGCTAAGAAAGTCAGATCACTGCACTCCTCTGGGCGGTCGTTGGTTCAAGTCTTGCATGTGAACCAGTCATCTGGAATCTGGCTGAGGCCAGATCAGTATAAGAGAAAAAGACATGCTCTTCTATCTGCCTGACTTGCAACTAGAAGGACAAAGGCCTACAGCTACCAGAGCCTTTTTGCCAGACCGACTCTGAGCATCCATTACTCTTGAAAGCAGAGTCAAGATATGGAGTGAGACTTAGTCCCGATGATGTGAATATTGATCATATGGGTGAGGCCGTCTCTGAAGTGTATTATCACTCAGTTACTTGAGCCAATGAATGATGTATTTTTTCCTGAAGCCATATTGACGTGGGCTTTATAGCACTTGTAATGAAAGAGTACTTCTTTGTAGACTATCTTTTGGTAGGATTTTGAAGGTGTGTTTGAGCAATTTGAGGAGCTCTGTGTGAATCACATCTAAATACAAGCATAACAGAGAGAAGGGCATGGTTTTCTCAAAACCAACATTGAGCCTGGAATATGTTGTGGTTTCTCTTAGATAACAATCAGTATGAATTAATCAACTGGTCAGTGGGCTCAGCCTATAAGAATGGGGTGATATTTGATTATTTCCCATGTGTACATTAAAACAACATACCATGCTAACATTCTGCAAAGTCTGTATTCGGAGAGCCTGAAATGATTCCAGTTGATGCTGAAGAGCCTATAAAAAAAATTAAACAAAGTGCAAGATTGAATAATTTTAGGTTAGTAAGCATCACTTGAATGATTATGACTTTTTAATATCCCTCAAAGTGGCCTATTTGTTGTTTAGAAAGGACCGTACGAATGCCAGGTGACTCTTAGTCATTCTTGCTACCTAGCCAATGGATTTTCATGTAGAGTTTTGGATAAAATGGAGAAGCCCAGATGCATTTGTTGTTATTGTTAGGTGCCATCAAGTCGGAGCCAACCCATAGCGACCTTAAGCACAACAGAATGAAACACTGCCCCATCCTGCACCATCCTCACGGTGGTTCCTATTCTTGAGCCATTGTTACAGCCACTGTGTCAATCCATCTCCTTGAAGGTCTTCTCCTTCTTTGCTGTCCATCTACTTTACTAAGCATGGTGTCCTTTGCACAGTCTTTTAGTGACAATAAAATGGATTATACCCACTTTCAACGCTGATCGCGGTTGGACTTGAGTTTCTGATTCTGCTCTGTAGCCACATTCTAAAACACAAAAGGGAAAGACCATCATGTGACGTAATTCTTACGTTACTGTCTTAAGCATGTGTACCCCAAAGCAGGCACCCATATTTCTAGGATAATGAGACAAAGAGATGAGAACTTTTGTTATCGACATTAGAAAGAACCCTCTGCTTGTCACAGAAGGAATTATTCGCTCTTTGCTTAAAATATCTGCTAGAGGTTGTTAATGTGTTTTTAGTTTTAGAATAAGCCACTCACTTGCCGCACCAAACTCTCAAAAATCCAAATATCTTTGTTTCTGGGATATGAACTACGGCCATAGATATCCCAAGCACAAACGAGGAATCCTTGTGAAAAGGAGGTCCTGGGTAAAGGACTTTACAGTCTCTGTGAAACTCCCGCTTTATCATGGGAGTTGGAAACAATTTGGTGCTAATAGCTTTGCTTTGGCTGATAGGAAAAATTGAAGTAACTGATTGTAGCTTCTCCCTTAAGCAACATACGAGAAAGAGCTGTATGCTCCTCTTTAGAAGCGAGAATAGAGATCTGCAACGATTTGCCAATTTTCCGACTTACATCCCTCACCATCTACACATAAGCTTATTTGATTACTCTGTATCGGTTTCACCAAAGAACATAAATCAACTTTCAATGTCACAGGTGAAATAACAGTTATGATTGGATGCTACCCTGGGTTGAGAATTTCTGTCTGCAGGGAAATAGAAAAAAAAGTTTATCTTTTCTTTTGGAATGTTAGTCTGCTAGATGTTCCAGAGATGGCTGTAAAGTATGGCACCGTTTTCCCCATCTGGCCCTCATCCCTTGAGCAACACTGGTTCTGGGTGGGCCTGGAGCCGATCCCACCTCCAATAAAAAGATGGGGAGGGGATTCAGCGAAGCTATCGGCACCTTGCTTAGTTTTGCATTTGTATTGGGAAGAAAATGGTAGTTAAACTCTTTCTTGGTAGTCTGCAAAGTTCATCCCAGAGAGATTAAAAAGGAACTCGAAGTAAGGTCTGGACCAATGTAGGAAGATATCATAAAGTTTCTAGACCCTAAATTAATGAATTCAAGTAGACCCAAGTGCAAATCAAAAAGAATAGGTCGCCTAGAATCCTATGACCCAGAACACATCATTGTGAATCTTACTTGTCATCCTTTAGTCAGAAGAGCCCTGGCAGTGTGGTGGGCGGTGCGTTGGGCAAGTCCAGCACTTTGAAACACCAGCTGCTCCATGGGAGGAAGCGGAGGCTTTCTACTCCCTGAGGCTTTCTACTCCCAGGAAGAGTGACAGTCCTGGAGACCCACAGGGGCAGTTCCACCCTGTCCTACAGGGTCACTGAGTCAGAATTGACTTGATGGCAGTGAGTGAGTGAGTGAATAGCTCTTAGTCAAGAGCCCTGGTGGACCAGTGGGTTAAGGATTGAACTGCTAACTGCAAGGTCAGCAGTTTGGACCCAACAGTCACTCTTTTTTTTTTTTAAAGTCATTTTATTGGGGGCTCATACAACTCGTCACAATCCACACATACATCAATTGTATAAAGCACATTTGCACATTTGTACATTTGTTACCCTCATTATTCTTTTAAAAAAAATATTTTATTGAGGGCTCGTACAATTCTTATCACAGTCCATACATCCATCCATTGAGTCAAGCACATATGTACACCTGTTGCCCTCATCAATCTCAAAACATTTGCCCTCTACTTTAGCCCTCAATATCATTTGCTCATTTTCCCCTCCCCCTCCTCCTGAGCCCTTCCTAATTAATAAATTATAGTTTTGTCATAAGTTACACTGTCTGACGTCTCCCTCCACCCTCTTCTCTGCTGTCCACCCCCCAGGGAGGAGGCTATACTTAGATTCTTGTAATTGGTTCCCCCCTTTTACCCCACATTCCCTTCACCCTCCAGGCCCCACCTCTCTCACCACTGGCCCTGAAGGAGTCATCTATCCTGGATTCCCTGTGTTTCAAGTTGCTATCTGCCAACAGTCACTCTTAGGGAGAAAGGCGAGGCTTTCTGAGGGAGAAAGATTCACGGTCCAGAAACCAAAAACGGCAGTTCTACCCTACCTCTTAGGGGTCCTCTGACTCAGAATCGTCTCACTGGCAATGGGATATTTTTTAATCCTTTAGTCAACTCTTTATGCATTGATGTAACACAAAAAAAGATATGATTATTAAACAGTAGGATTTTATTCATGCTACTTTCAGGTAAATACGTGTATATCTAATGAGCTTAAACTAAAAAAGATATTACAAATAGCCAAAGTTATTACAAATATTCTTCACTACAAAACACATTATTTCCTAAAAGTTCTAAGCTAATAAAAATATAGTAGGGAAATAATGAAAAGCTGGAATCTTTATGATTTATAATGATGTGCATTTCGATTGTGCTCTATGCCAAGACACATGAGAAAAATAGCATTTATACTTCCATAGCTACTATTAGTTTTTATGACGTTTGCTGTTTCTATGGGGGTAAAGAGCAAGTGTTGCCACTAGGGGTCCAGTGGAAATATGCAGGGGTTTGTTCCAAACAGAAGTTATTTAAACATGCCTGCGCTCTCCGAGGACAAGCTCTCTCTGGGATACAAAGCTCTGTCTTGGTAGGGTGCCTTCACATAGATTCAATCAAAATCATGGCTTCAGAAAAGATCTGCTAGGCTAGTCAAGTCAAGACAGAGAGGTCAGCTCAGAAGGTACAGAGATTGTTTTGTGAAGTTCCAAAGAGGTAATCTTGATACATTTTCTTTAGAAAACAACAACAACAAAAAAACCCAGATGCTTCAAGAACATTGACCACTGCTTGCATGAGAAAAGGTATCAGGAGAGTTGAGCTGAGGAATTTTCCACCCCTCCCCCCTGGCATCATGACAGTACACCTGCTCATTCTCCCAGGGGAAACAAAGTCTGTCCTAAGAGAATTTCATTGGCAAACATGATCTCATTCGCCCCACAGACCTGAGCTTGCTCCATCATGTTTCTTTTTGTTCCAGAGATTCAAGAACATTTAAAAGGACTATGATTTGAGTCCCTCAAGAAGGTTGAGGGAAGTGAGGGTTAGGGCATTTTTGTTTGATGCCTTCTACCCACCTCCACCCCCATTATGTGAGTTGAGAGGAGGTGGAGAGGGTGCAGGAGGCTCCAGGAGATATGAGGAGGGAAACAGGTATCTTGAAAAGGAGAAAATCATAGGCTCATTTTAGATCCCTGGTTATGACTCAAAAATGAGTGTCATTCTCCAGTAATGTTCAGATGTTTCAGCGTGGGCAGAGAGTAGGCAGAGAATTGGCTTGATGTATTTTTAAAGGCTATTAAAATAACTTTTGTTTCTCTTAAGAGTTTCAGAGACTTTGGTTGCTACTTATTTCCTAAAGAAAGGTAATTTCCAAATCCCACAGTACTTACTTAGAGAACGACATAGAAGTATGTGACTCAAGACCTCATCATAAAAGAAAATAAAAATCTGTGCCACGGGACCAATCAACAGCATATGATCAATGGAGAGAAGATGAAAGCTGCCAAAGATTTCATTTTATTTGGATCCAACCATCAACACTCATGGAAGCAGCAGCCAAGAGATCAAATAAGGTCATTGTGCATTGGCAAATTTGCTGCGAAACACTCTTTAAAATGTTAAAAAAGCCAAGATGTCGCTTTGAGGATGCTTGCTTAGGGACACTTAACCCAAGCCACAGCATTTTCAGTGGGCTCTTCGTGCAAATAAAGCTGGATAATGAATAGGGAAGAGAGAAGGAAAAAAAACCACATGCCTTTGAATGACAGGGTTGCGAAAGAATATCAAATACATCACGGAATGCCAAAAGAACAAACAAATCTGTGTTGGAAGAGGTCCAGCCAGAACGAGCCACAGAAGTGGGGATGGTGAGACCTCATCTCCGGTGCTTTAGACATGCTCTCAGGAGGGTCCACTTTCTGGAAAAGGGCATCATACAGCATAAAGTGCAGGGATGGGAAAAAAAGGGGAAAACTCTAATGAGACCGATGAACATAGTGCCTACCACCTGGGGCTCCAATATAGGCCTGATTGTGAGGACAGGGCAGGACCAGGCTGGGCTTCCTGCCGTTGAGCAGGGGGTTGCTATGACCCAGAACCAACTCAACAACATGTAAGTACAGCAGTGGAATGGGAAAGGAAGTTATGCATCACTCCAGTGTTCACAAGAGCCATAACATAATCACACATCGTCCTTCATGATGTCCTTGCAGAGTGTCCAGTTGGAGGAAGTTATGCTAAAAGTTAAGTGGTACAAGTGTTACCTCTGTCAAGATCACCCAATATGATTGAGTCCAATCCTACATACAGTGACCCTCTCCAGGGCTTCTGAGACGGTACATCTTCCTGGGAGCAGCAAGCCTCTTCTTTTCCCATGGAGTGGATGGTATTTTTGAACGGACAACCTTGTGGTGAGCAGCGAATGTTTGCCCCCCTAGTGCCATCAGGATTCCTTGGAAACTCTATAAACCAGACCAAACTCACAGCCAGCAAGTCAATGCTGACTCATAGCGACACCTCCACCCCACTGTGGGTTTCTGAGATTGTAACTGTTTACGGGAGTAGAAAGCCCCGCCTTTCTCCTGTGGGAAGCTGGTGGTTTTCTGAACCGCCAATCACGTGGATTGGAGCCCAACGTGTAACCACTATTCCACCAGGGCTTTGGAAACCTCTAAAAACCCTAGAGGGCGGTTCGGTTCTGTTCGCTAGAGTCTTCATGGCATAGAATAGACTCAATGGCACACAGTAAGTGGGAGATAAGATTTCAGCCCTCCATAAATTTGTAGTCCACTGAGAATATAAGAACTTGCATTCATATTACAGTCATTGTCAATTCCCTAGTGGTTTCAAAAGTGAAAATCAGGATATTTATTAGTGAGATGAGTTTGAAGTAATTAAGCTTAAAGATATGGGGATTCTAATCAGAAGTCTGCTGAAAATGATTTCATATTCAACATACACAGAACGTATGTTGCCCCCTTTCTCCCCCTACCTTTCCCTTCGCCTCCTGGTATTGCTTCTCTCATTATTGGTCCTGAGGAGTTTATTTGTCCTGGATTTCCTGTGTTTCTAGCTCTTATCTGTACCAGTGTAAATGCTGTGGTTTAGCTGGAATTGTAAGGTAGAATTGGGGTCATGATAGTGGAGGGGAGGAAGCATTAAAGAACTAGAGGAAAGTTGTATGTTTCATTGATGCTATATTGTACCCGGACTGGCTTGTCTCTTCCTTGTGACCCTTCTGTAAAGGGGTGTCCAATTGTCTACAGATGGGCTTTGGGTCTCCACTCTGCGCTCTCCCTCATTCACATGATATGATTTTTTGTTTTGGGTCTTTGATACCTGATACCTGATCCCATTGACACCTCATGATCACACAGGCTGCTGTGCTTCTTCCATGTGGACTTTGTTGCTTCTCAGCTAGATGGCTGCTTGTTTATCTTCAAGCCTTTAAGACCCCAGATGCTATATCTTTGGATAGCCGGGCACCATCAGCTTTCTTCACCACATTTGCTTATGCACCCATTTTGTCTTCTGTGATCGTGTTGGGAAGGTGAGCATCATGGAATGCCTGGTTATTATTAAAAAAGTGTTCTTGTATTGAGGGAGTACTTGAGTAGAGGTCCAATGTCCGTCTGCTACCTTGATACTTAATATATAAATATATGTACATAGATCTATTTCCCTATCCTTATATATAAATATATTTATATATGTACATGCCTGTATTTTAACCTCTATAAATGCCCTTTGCCTCCTAGTTCTTTCCTCTATTTCCTTTTACTTTCTTCTTGTCCCACTATCACATTTTGCCTTCATTCAGGTTTTGGTAATTCCTCTCAGTTACATTGGCTTTGATCAAGCCCTACCAGGCATCCTACATCCTCCTCGTCATCGATTTTTGATCACTTGTTGGTCCCTTGTCCCTGGGTTTGTTAATACCTACATACTTTCCCCTGTCTCACCCTCTCCCATGTCCCTGAGGCTGTCAATATTTTGGGGAGCAAAGCCTCATCTTTCTCTCTCGGAGTGGCTGGTGGGTGCTTACACAACAGTGCCATTTAGGCTCCTAGACAGGTATATATTAATTCTTAGTTCCACATCCGGACCCCAAATTAAATTTCACTAATTGAGAGCATTGTATTTCTGTTAGTTATTTATAAATGTGCATCTTGGTAAAGACTGAATTTATTAAGCAAGGAAACAGATTTCAACTCTAAAGTCTTGACTGTAAGCCTAAGAATGCTGGGTCTCAGGCCTTACCTTGAAAATAAACTTGATTTCTTAAGCATTCTCAGGGAGTTGGTGTATCACCTGGGACCTAAACAACTAGTGGAAGTGCACCACTGCTCCTCACTGTTAGGGAGTTGATTTGGCTCAGCGTGGCGTTATCGGACTGAGTAGGGATGGGTTAGAACTGTCCCTTCGGGTTTCCAAGGTTGTAAATCTTTACTGGAGCAGAAGGCCGCATCTTTCTGATGAGGAGTGGCTGGTGGGCTTGAACCACGAACCTTTAGGTTAGCAATTCAATGTATAATCCAGTACACCCCCAGCCTCCTTTACCAGCTGAAGGGGAGGGAAATCCCACTGACTATAGGCTTGATTCTGACTCATAGCAACCTTTTATGTGGCTTTTGAAGCAATAAATCTTTATGGGCACAGACAGCCTCATTTCCCCCCAAGGACTGGTTGGTGGGTTTGATGCAGTCTGTGGGATCAGCAGCTTGACACCTCCCCCACTGAGCTGCGCGAACTCCTTAAATGGGGAGAACATGTAAAAGTAACCCACTGCCAGGGAGCCAGTTGAGACTCAGCAACCTCTAGAAGAGTCTAGAACTGCGCCCCGAGAAGGCGGCTCCACACTTTCTGGGGCTCCATGCTTCATTCAGAGCCAACCCCCAGTCCTTACAGGGGACTACGTCTCATACCTTTCCCTCCTCTCAACTCCTGTCCTTACATTCTGCTCCATTCACACGAGTTGCCCATCAAAGGCCAGGCGTGCTCCCACCTCGGGGACTTTTCAGTTGCTGTTCCCTCTGTCTGGAATGCTCTTTCCCCAGAAAGGTGCATTGACTATTCTTTTGCCTCCATCTGACCGTTGTGCAGAGGTGATTAGGCAGGTGAAATCGTCTACCTTCTCATTTAAAGCTGGACACTCCAACCACCCACACGCAGCCCTCTCCTCGCCTGACTTGCTTCCCTCCCAGCTGGGACCCAGGGCCCTCTGTTCACCAATCGTGAGGGAATGGAATGAGCACCGCGGGATGGCAAATGGGTTCCCCAGTGGATCCTGAGTGTCTAGAACAGAACTTGACACAGAGCAGGTGCTCAAAATACCGTTCGATGAAAGAATGTGTAAGTGAAGGTTTGGGAATTATTTGTTCTTTTGAAGTCAACGAAACAGAAACGCTAGACAAGTTGTCTAGTGGCATCCGTTACGGTGGTTTGTGGATTTAGTACCAGATGAGCAGCTCTTGTTATTTCCCGGCCCACTTGATTCCAATGCAGAGAGGCCCTGTTGGTGCGAGTTAGGAGCTTGGAACTGTGTCTCTCCAGAGGAAGGCAAGAATTCTACCACAGAACCAACGCTGACTCCTGCTACTGAAACACTCACTGCGGTAGACTTGACGGCCCACTCAGCAGCCCTCCAGGGCAGAGCAGAACTGCCCCTTGGGGGTTTCTGAGATTCTGCCTTCAGCAGAGCAGGCAGCCTTTCCTCCTGTGGAGAGGCTGGTGACTTTGAACTAAGCACCTTGTGGTTGGCAGCGCCAAACATATGCCACCAGGGCACCTTTGAAGAGCAGTAACAGTTACGGGGAGTCACTAGGCACTAGTTAGGGTTGGAGGTCGTCGGCAATCTTACCCGTGACCTGTAGTAAAAGACTGAAATACGTCGGCCGTGGCCCTGTGGACTTTACCTGCTTCATTTTCACCGCTGCCCTTTACCCCCTCAGAGGCATTTAGGATCTTGGAGGCTGTGAGGAGAACGGAGTCAACTTCATTGTCTTCCTCAAGATGCGCTTCTGTAACCGAACAGTAAATCTGCCTGGAATAGAAGCGGGGCGCGGAGAGGGGGGCAAGGTGGGCGTGGAGATTTCGGACGCGGCGCCTGTAAGAAGCCACCGGAGGGCGCGCTGGAGCCACGCCCGGCGGGATGGGGCGCAGGGCTGAGAGCGCGGCCGTGCTCTGAGTGGGAGTGGCTGGGGACCAGCGCTGAGCTCGGGAAGTGCTGCTGGACCCGAAGGTCCACGCTCCAGAGCAGTTCTGGGAACTCCCAGAGGCTTCGGGCCAGAGGCGGAGCTGGCGCCGCGCCCCACGGCCGCTGCCCTCCCGCCGGGTGCCTCCGGCCACAGGCCCCCGCGCCGCTCTTACCCGGACTCATTCCTGGCGCCCAGGCTCTCCCTCCCCAACTGCCTCCCCCACGCCGTGGGCCCAGCTGCTTCACGTCCGGGCATCCTGTTGCTTGGTAACGGGGCGGCCCGGGCACAGCGCCCCCCACCCCACCCCATCCCTTTGAGCGTGAGAATTCGGGAGGCCGGTGGGGATTCTAGAGCCGCGCGGGGCGAGGGGGAGGGGCGCGGGTCCTGGAGGGATCAGCTC